CTTAATTAGCACAGGCAGAAAATATACAGTTTTTACACAATTCTTATAACTTTAAAAGTATGCATGCAATATTACATATTTGAAATAAGCGTCCTTCAAATATAAATATACTTAGGTCGAAAGTCCTTTGTGACCACTGAAGCATGGCTTTTCCAGCCCAAACCAGTTCCACAGAGTCCTCTATCCTGGAGAAAATTGGGAAGTAATCCGATTATCTCCCAGGACAGAGGAAAAACTCCATTGAACACATGGTAGCAAAAGACAATAAAATACATAGAAATATATAACTGTGCAGCTATTGCATAAAACAGGTACATTCAACATATCCCCAGATAGCTTAGATCTGAGCGCACATTATTACCGAATGGCGCTCAGATTACATACATACAGTTCAATTGCCATGGAGCCAAAGTCTTTCACATAGTTTTTCGTTATACGCATGGGCTCCATTGCATAGCTATCTGGGGTATCACTGTTCAAATAGGGCAAGTACCGAATGACCCGGGTTTCGTGTCTTTGCAGGGGAAAATCAAGCATTTCAACATGGGGCCATAGTCACAGGGCAGGAGGCTGGCAATCAGTCTTCTCCAATGCCCAGTGGCAAGGCTGGTTCCGCCAGAAGGAGTTAAGATGTTCACAAATTAAATCTTTTTGTATTTATATTTGCTACTGCTTGCATATTAACAACTTTATAACTAAGGCCTTAAAAAAGAACAGATGATCTATATCACATTAATTGCTTTAATAAAAAAAAAAATAAGTAAACAAAGTACAATTGTGCTCTTAAGCAAACATTCTCAACTCCAGTTTATGAAACTAAATATCAGAAAAAAGCCCTCCTGTAATACATCAGGCTTTTTTTCATAACAATTAAGTATAAAGCAGAGATATTAAAGGTAAAAAAAAAAAAAGGTTAAAAAAAAGTATCTACATGAAATATGGATTTTTTTTTAGCGCAACTCATACCCAATGAATGTATTAGGAATACTTACAATTCGATACAAGTTATTAAATCAAAACCAATCAATGCAGGATCTTTCTCAGTCACAGAGCCGTGGTAAAGAGAAACAGTCAGTCGAGTTTTTTTGGGCTCCAAGTAGCTGATTAGGAGTGGTTTCAATGATTCCCTAAATGATAAAAGACACAGTGTGGTAAACAATATGATCAGCACGTGACGTTATATAACAATTTTATACATGTGGCCACTTGTTTGGCAAATCCTAAATTTTGAAGTTACTGTATTTGCTGTAACTCTCCATGATCTTCAGCTCTAAGATTTTCTGCAAGCAGGAAGTTGCATAAATCCTGAGCCAATCCTCACTCTGTCATTGTTCTTAAAGGCCATGCTGATGATTAGGCCAGTTTCCAGAAGTGAGCAAGCTGGGAAGCTGCCTGGGATCCCGCCCTAGATGCACTCAGGATGTTGTAGCCCAGTCCACTTGTCAGTGCTGAACACTTCTTTTCTTTTCAGCTTTAAAAACAGAATCCTTATCAGCTCCCAGCAGACCGACAGATAAAGTATATAACATTATATCACAAACTCTGATTCCCCACATTGCTGCCAGTCACGTGGTATTCTAGTGTTGAGACCGAACATAAAAAAAGTTGACCACTGACAACTTAGCAACGCTGTGACGGCCATGCTACCTTTAAGGTATATTACTCAGGTAAGGTGAGATGGGTGGAATAAACACTGAAAGATGGAACCAAAGAAAAACACTGGGTGTGGGCATTGACAGACACTATGGGGCGCTAGGGAAAGACCCTTAAAGGGAGAGGTCAGTAGAGGCACTTAAAGGAACACTATAGTGTTAGGAATACAAACATGTATTCCTAATACTCTAGTCCTGGAGTAGCTTTTTAGGTCACCGGCTCCCTTCAGATTGTAGTGAAAAGGTGATTAAACTTACCTTTTCCCCCCTCCCCGGATTGGCTGACCCAACCTTCGCCAATCTTGATGACCTCTGTCAATCCAATGTTTCCCATAGACAAGCACTGGCAGGCTATTGTGTATGTATGGCAAAATGCATTTCACCTTATAGAGATATATAGAAACAATGCATCTCTATGGGGAACATTTGGCATCTCCATGCATACTGCAGACTAGAGAACCACTACAATAAGCTGTAATGGTTCTAGGGACTTTAGTGTCCCTTTAAGGAGGCTAGAGAAAGGCACATAAAATACTAGAAAATGACAAAAAAGTGGTTCGGTAAGACATACTTACAATAACTCCCAGTTGATATGGGAAAGAAGTAAACAAATGGTGATAAAGGACAAAGCTTGCACTTAAGAAATGAATGAGTTCCTCTTGTAAGATCCTTTACAAACTGCCCAGTGGAGCATATTCCAAAAAATCCATGACAGTGTGTATTACGTTACCAATAGCTCCATTTAACAATGACAAAATGTGAGGTAAGTGATATGGAAAATAGACAAACTAATTAAATGAATTATATTACAGTGTCTGTCACATTCTAAGTTTAGATATGGTTACTATATCAAGATGTTCCCATTACTTTAAAAACAAATGTGATCAATGGACTAATGTTGAAGTGTAATTAAACTCTAATCACTCTACATTTTGATAGAAGATCCTAATAACATTACAGAGTAGGAGTTTCTTATCTAGAAAATAGCACTTAGAGCTGAACACTGTTTCATAAAATAATCGAATAAATAAATTACTTCTTGTCTGTCAGCAATCTTTGATCAATGTCCAGGCCTACAAGCTCCTCAATGCAATCACAAAACTTTAACCTTCTCAGAAGTGAACAATTGCTACAGCCCAGGTCTGCAACCTGCAATGCAAAAAGACAAACAGAATGTTCAAATACATTGTAGAAACATGCAACCATTTCCAATATAATATTATGCAGGTCATTAAACAAGTAGCAAAAGCAAAATGAAATGATACCGTTTCAAGTATGAATAGTAATGTGAGTACACATTCTACATACAGCACAGATTACCACCAACTGATGTTCAGTGGATGTGCAGCCTGTCTCATGCTGTCTCTGCTCATTAAAAGCGTGTCAGCCGTCAGGATATTACGTCATGTTGAATACTGGTGGTCATGAATCTTGAGCATTGTGAGGAGAGGCTGGTTGCTGCCGCTCCTTACTCCTCCCTGTGAGCCGCCGAAGTGAGCGACAGAGGGTCTGGTTCTCCTCCTGCCGCAGATACACTCCATGCCAGCACCAATTCCCTCAAGACAGCCCTGCTACTTGCCCGCAGCAGGACTAAAAGAATGAAAAATCTTCCTGCCAAGAACTTCATGTCGCGGGCAATATGAATTCCACATCCCTGTGGGTTAATATGGAATACCTGCTAACAAAAACAGTGTTACTCTTTAAAGTAACTAGTTCCTAAGTAATAAAGTGGAAAAAAATTTAATTTAACAGTCTCGATCAAGTGATCGGCACCGTTTTCCATGTGCTTCTCATTAGACACAACTTGCTGTTTCGCATGCGTGCCAGTGTTATTGCACAAAAAGAGAGGCTCAGAAGACTAACAGGATTGTTTGCTTTCCTTTTACTATAAAAACAACATATAAAACAATTTATCCGGCTTTTATGGGACGAGAAATGATTATGGTACAAATTTAACCCCTTAAGGACTGGACTGTTTTTGCGATGTTGTACATTTGCGACCAGGAATATTTTTACACTTTTGTGGTGTTTGTGTTTGGCTGTAATTTTCCGCTTTCTCATTTACTGTTCCCATACAAATTATATATTGTTTTTTTCAGGACAAAATGGGCTTTCTTTACATACCATTATTTATATAATCTCATGTATTTTAATTTAAAAAAAATACAAAAATCTGATGAAAAATTGAAAAAAATACATGTTTTTTTGACTTTTACTTGAAAAATCTTTTACTCATCTACAAAAGCGAATGAAAAAAACTGCTAAATAGATTCAAAATTTTGTCCTGAGTTTAAAAATACCCAGTGTTTACGTGCTTTTTTGCTTTCTTTTCCAAGTTATAGGCTATAGGTACAAGTAGGATATTGCGGTTTCAAAACATACATTTTTAAAATGTATCAATAGTGACATTGTAACACTATTATCTGTCATAAATCTCTGAATAACACCCCACATGTACATATTTTTTAAAGTAGACAACCCAGGGTATTCAATATGGGGTATGTCCAGTCTTTTTTAGTAGCCACTTAGTCGAAAACACCGGCCAAAGTAAGCATTCACATTTGTTTGTGTGTGAAAAAAGTAAAAAAACTAAATTGAACGCTAATTTTGGCCAGTGTTTGTGACCAAGTGGTTACTGAAAAAGACTGGACATACCCCATTTGCAATACCTTGGGTTGTCTTCTTTTGCAAATGGTATGCCATCATGGGGGTAATTCTCATTCCTGGGCTACCATACGCTCTCAAAGGCAACGTAACCAACCTGGCTATTTTCAATGTAAAAATATTTGACCCATATATTTGACCTTGTAACTTTCAAAAATGCTATAAAACCTGTACATGGGGGGTACTGTTTTACTCGGGAGACATCGCTGAACACAAATATTAGTGTTTAAAAACTGGAAAACGTATCACAACAATTATATCATCAGTAAAAGTGCTGCTTGTGTGTGAAAAATGCAAAAAAAGTAACTTTCACTGACAATATCATCGCTGTGATATGTTTTACTGTTGTGAATCACTAATATTTGTGTTCAGCGAAGTCTCCCGAGTAAAACAGTACCCCCCATGTACAGGTTTAGGGTGTCGTAGAACGTTACAGGGTAAAATACAGTGCTAGCAAATTAAATTCTCTGGAATTTCGGCCTGGGTTGGCAGGCAGGTCCCTCAAATTGCAATCAATAAAATTACTGAATTATGTAAAAATATTACATAAATACGCACGTAGAATTTAAATATATATGCATATTTATATATTTGAAGTCTACGTGTATATTTATATAATTATTTATGTAATTTTGTATATGGACGTATGTATATTTCTTATTATTTTTATTTATTTTTATATACATAGATATATATACAAATTCATTCTAAGTGTATTTTGATATAAATATATATATATTAATTTTAAAATACAGTTAGAATAAAATTTCATATAGCTATATAATTTTTTTAAAAATTTTTTATTATTATTTTAAATTTTTTTTATTTAATTTAAATTACTTATTATTTATATTTTATAATAATATATATATACAATATATATAGTTAGTATATATATTATATATATACGTGTGTAATTTAATTATAAGTGTATTTTTATATTAATATAAGTACATATTAATATAAAAATACACTTAGTATGACATTATATATATATGATATATAGACATATATTATATAGATATAATATATGTCTATATATCATATTTATACATATATAATTATTATTATTTTTTTTATTACCATTAACTTTAATTTTTTTCTGATTTTACAGTTGCAGGGAGACTGCCTGTCAGCACAGGCAGTCCCCCTGCAGGCAGCACTATGGACACCTATTGTGACCATGTGATCGCTGTGTTAAGCGATCACATGGCCACAGGGGTCCTAATCTGCCGTGGGGAGACTGTCTGGGCTGCAGGCAGTCTCCCCACAACTGGAGGAACACTGATCGCCGCCGGGGGAACGACGGCGATCAGGTAAGTACCCCCAGACCGTTTGGACGGTTCAGGACCGTCATCGGTCGGCAAGGCAAAAATGCCGATGACGGTCCTGAACCGTCCTCGGTCCTTAAGGGGTTAAATAATAGATACATCAATTTTTCATCACATCACATGATGCAGCAATGGCATATATTTGTTCAAATTATTTATATTTTCTTGAGACTACTGGTGAAACAACAACTTAAAGGACCACTATAGCCAGGTCCCCCTAGTTTTAACCCTGCAGCTGAAAACATAGTTTCAGAGAAACTGCTATGTTTCACTGAGGGTTAATCCAGCCTCTAGTGGCTGTCTCACTGACAGCCACTAGAGGCACTTCCGCGATTCTCACTGTGAAAATCACAGTGAGAAGACGCTGGACGTCCATAGGAAAGCATTGCAGACCCAGGCAGGGAGAAGCAGCAAAGAGGCCCAGCCAGCGGTGAGCCAGGAGCACCGAGGGGGTCCCTACGTGGCGGGCTCAAGATCCTTGACGCCCTCCCCGACACCCTGTTCAACCACCCATATCAGCGTTTAGCCATGGTTCCCACATCTTTTTGTGTTTCTGCAGGGATCCCCAGGTAATTGCAGTCAGTCTGTCCATGAGACAGGTGTCTTTCCTTTTATGTATTACTACGGAGAGAGGTGGGGTGTTCACTTGAAGCTAGGTTTGTGCCAGGGCTCTACACACCGCTAGGGTTAATTTATGGAGGAGTTTTTGGTCTGATCTCACCCAGTCGTCCCGTGTTCTAGAGAGCAGAAAGACCCAGGGATCGATCTCCACCCTACGCTGAAAGATCTGTGCCAGGAGTTTTCCTACCTCTTGCCAGAAAGGTTTTACTACTGGGCATTCCCCCCACAGTTCCTCCAACAGAGGTCGTTGGGGGTCTGCTGCATGCGGTAGAGCAGTACCGGTGTTGTTTACATAGTTTTATAAGCCTGCTCTTGGACCGTTGTAAAAACTGAGACCGAGTTATTGGCTTCCCAGATTTCCTGCCACTCAACCCCCTCTAGTTGTTCTCCCAAGTCTGATTCCTTTTGATCAATATATGTGAGGCTGCCCCATTCTGTTGTATTAGAGGCTATGTGGGTGTTGATGGATGAGATCATGCCCCTGTGTATTGATTCCTTCAGGCACATGCTTTCTAGTGAAGTAACATTTTTGCTAGCTAGTTCTTTTATGTTGGGTTGGCCGATGAAATCTTTAAGTTGCAGGTACCTTAAGAAGTCTCCAGGTGTAAGAGTCACCCTCTCTTTTAATTCGTCAAAAGTGAGTATGCGGTCTCCGTTAGTCATATGGCATAGCCTTTGGAGTCCAGCATATTCCAAGATTTTAAAGTCTCGGGGTTTCATCCCCAGGGGGAATGCTCTGTTCCTAAACAGAGGTGTCATTGGGGAAGGGAGCCTCACTAGGCCATATTTCACTGCGTATTTGTCCCAGACCTGGACGGAGTTGAGTATGGACGGGCAGTCCGATCTGAGAAACACCCTGTGTTTCTTGAGTAGCCAGAAGTAGAATTGGGGGAGATCTGTGCCTGTCATGAGAGACTCTAGATCTACCCATCTCCTCCTATTGGGAGTGCAACAGCTGGTTGCTTATTACTAAGTAGTAATAAAAAAGATTGGGCATTCCCAGACCCCCCGAGCACTTTGAGCGATACAAAACGTTTCGAGATACTCTGTGTCGTCTGTTATTCCATATAAAGTTCGCTGTCGTCTGTTGGAGCAGTGCCAGATCAGTTTAGGTGATAGGGATAGGCAGGGCCAGGAACATGAATAGGATTCTGGGGAGGATGTTCATTTTAATTGTGTGGACTCGGCTGATCCACGATATAGGTTTATTAACCTACTTAATCAGGTCGCCAATCAGATATTTAAAAAGCGGTATATAGTTCTGCACGTATAATTGGTCAGGGAAGGCCGTTAATCTGACTCCTAAATATTTAATGGCAGTGTGGTTTAGTTGCATACGGTGCGTTGTGGTGATAAAGGTGGCGTCTATGTCTGTCATGTTGAGAGGTAGGGCACTGGACTTTCCCAGGTTAACTTTATAGCCCGATAAGCCGCCATATACTTCTAGCACCTGTACGAGGATCTGCATTGAGTCCTCTGGGTGAGTCAGTGTGAGGAGTATGTCATCTGCGTAACCTGCCACTTTGAATTGTTCCCCCTTAACCCCCCCAATGGTCACCCTGTGAATATTAGGATGGTTCCTGATTTTATGTAAAAGCGGTTTGAGAACAAACAAGAGCGGGCAGCCCTGTGTAGTCTCATTCCCGAGACCGAAGGGTCTGTTCGGGGCCCCGGTGAACCGAATCTGAGCCTTTGCATCAGTGTACATTGCGGTGATTGCTGTAATGTATGGGGCTGGGAAGCCCAGATAGGCAGGACCCTGTCAAATGCTTTTTTGGCATCTAGTAAGCGTATCAGAGACGGCTACCCTGTCTTCGTCTGCCTCCAGATAATGTCAATATTGCGTTGTGTGTTCTCGAATAGTTGTCTATCGTGAACAAAGCCTACTTGGTCCGCGTGGACCAGCCGTTATAATAACGAGTTCAGTCTCATCGCTAATACGTTTGCTAATAACTTACCGTCGTGGTTGATCATGGATATGGGTTTATAATTCTCAGGGCTAGTGTTGTCTTTGCCCGGTTTCGGGATTAGGACTATGTTCGCTAGGTACATGTCTCGGTCCGTGCTGCAACCGTCCATGAGGTCGTTGAACCATGTCGTCAGGTGAGGGACCAGTTCCTCCCTAAACGTTGTAAAGTAGGCCCGTCAAAGCTGTCCGGTCCCGGGGCTTTGTTATCCTTTAGCGATGAGATTGGGCATCTATTTCATCTACCGTGATTTGGCCTCCTAAGACTTGGATGGTCTCTCCTGTCAGTTTTGGTAAGTCTTGTTGTTGTAGGTATGTGCTGACGTTGTCCTCCTCCTCTAGTTCCTGGCCCCGCTGAGTAGGGGAGTGATTGTATAGGGCCTGAAAATAGTCGGTGAAAACCTGAGCTACGTCAGTTGGTGGTCTGTAGGTTCCCTAGCCTGTCTTTGATTTTAGTTATGTGCGCATGTTTCTGTTTGGGTCTTAGCGTTCTGGCTAGCAGGGAGTCCATTTTGTTTGCCCTGTCATAGTAGGTCCTTCTCGTCCAGTTTAGTGACCTAGCTGTGTCATCTAAGAGTGTTTCTTTGACCTCTAAGCACCTTGCTCGCGGTTCTTGCAGTTTGGCTGGGGTAGGGTTTTGTTTGTGTTGTTGTTCTACTCTGCGTAGGGTGGCAAGTTGGTCCGTTATTACGGTTTCTTTTTAAGGGTGGCTTGTTTCACTAGGGTCCCTCTAATTACGGCCTTATGTGCTGCCCAAATGGTAGCTGGGGGGGATGTTATCTGTGGTGTTCAGGGCGAAGTAAGCTTTCAGCTCCTCCTTTATTGTATCAACCACTGCCGGGTCCCTTAGGAGTGCTGTGTTAAGCCTCCAGCTCCACGGGGTAGCCGCACAGAGGTTGGTCAGTGTTAGCGCTATGTCTGCGTGGTTTTTCCACGATATAGTGCCGATGTGTGAGTGGGTCGCTCTGGGCACCATTGCCCCATTAACTAGGAACATATACATAGGCGAGTATGTGTTGTGGGGAGCAGAGTGGAATGTGTAGTCCCTTGTGCATGGGTGATGTGCTCTCCAAATGTCAATGAGTCCCGTTTGTTGTATGAAGCCGTGGAGTAGTCTGTCATGTGTCCCTCGTCCCTGAGAACCCAGCTGTCCCGTCTCTAGAGCTCCTATCTATCGCCGGGCATGGGGCTGCATTGAAATCCCCTCCAACGACTACGAACCCGTGGGGAAGGTCTGCAAGTTGGGTCATTAATGCCTCGTTTCCACTGAGCATAACGGTTCGGGTCGGTACAATTTGGAAGGGTTAGAAGGGTCCAGCCTATTCGGGTGAGCTTTTCCACTGCAAGTCGGACCACGAGGGGCCATGTGGGGTTTAGAAAAAATGCCTAGAGTGTTATTTGTCGTGAGCATTGACGTTTTCATGTCCGCCAATCAATGGATTGTATAGTGTGACGCTAGTAGCGCCGCCCTAACCGTAACGTACCATTTCCTATGGCCCTATATCTGAAGGGGGACCATGAACGGTGCGGTTCGGTTGTATGGGCCCCTTTCATAATGGAAACACTCAAAATAGCGTACCATACCGAACCGTTACGCTCAGTGGAAACGAGGCAAATAGTCGTCCCAGAAAGCTGGTGTTGGATCATTATGTGCATATATGTTAACAAGGTGCAGTGTGTGTGAATATAAGAGTATGAGGAACCTCCCCTCCGGGTCTGAGACAGCCTGTGTGACTTGAAGTGGGCATCTATTGTGTATTGCTATGGCTACCCGTTGTGCTTTCGGAACGCTAGTGCCTCGAAAACAGAGCAATAGATGTCATCTCTCAGGGCCACATGGGAGCCATGGGGCAAGTGTGTCCCTTGTAAGAATGCAACATCCGCGTTCAAACGTTTAAGCTCGCGGAACATGAGCCTCCGTTTTTTGGGGGCATTCAGCCCCTTTGCATTAAGGGATATTAAGTGTAAGGACATTGCTCAGCTGCCTGGGCCTTGCCACCAGCAGTCCCCCAGCCGGGCGCCGAGTGTCTAGTGTCCCCAGTGAAGGCGGTTCGGTGGTCGTTACCTGCACACGGTGTGCCCCTCTCTGGAGTGGGTAGTTCAGATATGTCCGCTGGTGCCAGGATCTGGACCAGAGTCTGGATCCCCAGGCTGCGTAGGAAGACTCCCGGATCACCGGTGAGATGCAATGTGTGAGGGCGGCCATCTTTGAAGGCGAATGGATGGCCCCGAGCGTACTTGATGTTCTTCTATCTCAGTAAGTCAGTGATTGGTCTCCATTCTCTGCGCCTCTGGAGGGTGATTGGTCAGAGGTCTTGGAGCAGCGTCAGTTCCGCGCCTTTATAGTGGATCGGGCCATCTCTGCTTTTAGCCATCAGGGCTTCCTTGGTTTGGAAGAAATGGAAGCGGATGATGACATCCCTGGGTTGTGAGTCGTCGGCTCTCCAAGCTCTCAGGGCTCTATGAGCTCTGTCAACATGCCACAGTTCTCCCGGTATGTCAGGGCATAAGGGTCTCAGGATGGGGAGTCTAATGTCTGTCATTGGTACCTCTCCATCTCTATCCGGCAAGCCTCTCAGGCGTATATTATTGCGCCAAGACCTGTTAGCTAGGTCTTCTATGGTGGATTCAGCGGTTTGGAGCCGGACTGTGAGTGATGAGACTATCGGTCACCAGATCGTGGGCTTGTCTCTTCCAATTTCTGCTCCAGGATGGTCGTTTGTGCTCCCAGAGCATGTATTTCTGCTTTGACTTCGCTCGTGGAGCAGGTGATCTCCCTTGCCAGGTAGGAGCGCACTTCTGACAGCTTCATGAGGATTTGGGCTGTGTCAGGCTGCAGTGAGGAGGGTCCAGCGTCCTCTTCATTATCTGAGGCAGTGGTGCTCGGTGGGTATCGCCCGCCATTTTGGTTGCCAGCCTGAGCCACGCGGGAGGCCGCAAACAGGTCAGTCACTTTCACGCCCGTTTCGGACGCTTTTTTAGGGTGTTTACGTGGGGTGCGCTTATCCATGTGGACAGTGGGCCAGTACCAATTGCTTTTGTGTGCTGTTAGCGGTATGTGCCGAGCAGAGCTTCACACACACGCGTCCAGCTCGGTCGACGGTTGGACCACACCCCCTCGGGCAAATGGTTCTTATCTGCCGACACATTCTATATATTTCTAAGTCACGGACGGAGGCAATAGTCAACATTCTGAACCAAAACAAAACCTTGAATTTGAGCAGAAGCTTTGTTCCACCGTAATTTAAGGTTTTTTTTTCTTCAAGTACCCGATACACATTATATACCAATTTTTAAAGGACAGAAAAGGCTTTCATTTAACATTCTATATGTATACCTAACACAACAGTACTTGTGAAATAAATGTTACAAATAGGAAAGAATTTAGAGAAAACAATTCACACTTTGGCTTATAATAATTTTTACACATCCAGTGCAACTAATTAAAAAGAACTCAAAATAGATTAATATATCAGTCCGGATTATTAAATAGCTAATTTGTTTAGGACCTAAATTAATTTTTGATAGTTAACGCTAACCCAACTATACCCAATGCTTACATTAAAGGACCACTATAGTGCCAGGAAAACATACTCGTTTTCCTGGCACTATAGTGCCCTGAGAGTGCCCCCACCCTCAGGGTCCCCCTCCCGCCAAGGTTAGTGGTGGATTTAACCCTGCTCACGTTGCATTATTCACATAGACATTTAAATGCCTATTTAAAGTGCTGCTTCCAACACTGCAAACAGTGCATCAAAAAGTGTGGGGCCACTAAAACTGGCTTATGCACTTTAAGGAGAGGCGATTATTCATTGATATGTGGGGTTAGGGGTGTGATCAGGGATTTAAACCTGCTCACACTGAAATCACTAGGGCATTTAAATGTCAAATTAAAGAACTGTTTGAAGCACTGGCTCCCAGTTCATCTAAAAGTCTGGGGCCCCAGCAGACAGAGGGAATCCCTAGATTCCATCGATTGAGCAGGGATTTAACCCTGCACACACTAAATATGCAGGGTGTTCTATGACCCTGTACAACAAGCATGTCAAACTCAAAGGCTAACACGGGCTAAATAAACAAGGTTTAAGTTTATGTGGGCAGCAAAAAACCAAACATTTCAGTTTTCAAAGAAACTTAGGTTTCTTTCAGAAAGTACAGTCTAAAAAGAAAGATGCCTAACTGACACTGGATGTTCTCAAGCTCGTAGAGCTTCAAAGTAAACAAAAGAGCAAATTCATTTTAAGGAGATAGGTATTTGCATATAACCAATGTTTCAGTCCAACTACCTTGACATATTATGGTAATGGGACTGAAATGGTGAATGTATGCTGCTGCACAGCTGTAAAAAACAAATGATGCTATCCTGTTGATTTTGAAGTGCTATGAGTGTGTTCTTCAAACTTGATCAGCTCAGCCAAAAAAATGCTTTCCAATAGGAAAGCATTGGGAGGCTATTGCGCATGTGTAGCAAAAAGCTGCGCAGCCAATCAGCATCTCCATGGGGAGCATTCAGCGCCTCCATGCAGACGCAATCTAATACACTCCCCCACCCCCTATTCTACTACCGTGACCCCAAATCCAATAAACCCCCTCCACTCTAATACACTGTCCCTCCACCCAATCTAATACACTGCCCCCTTCCTCAAATTAATACAATGCCCCCCCCCCTCCCTCCAATTTAACACACTATACAGGAAGGTCCTCCAAGCCCCTTAAGATGAGCCACCTGTCCCCCAGTTCCAGCCTTGCTTTTCACAAGCAGGCCAGAGTGAGTTTGCCATGAACTCCTGCCCACAGACTATGGGCACTGTAATATACACCGAAAAGTCTCCGTGTATCTGGACTATATGGTTCGGGAACCGAACAACCGCACAAACCGGAGACCACCCTGGAGCTTGTTAAGCCTAATTGCTACTTTCTAGCAATTTCCGCCGCAGTGTTCGTCTGAGTCGCCGCATTTCCTATGGACGACAACGAGGTGGTGGCCATCTTATTCGCATGAACACAGGCAGCGTTGTTTGGTCGTCCAGTTCATGTAACTATTTTCGGACACAAACTCCCAAACACAGCTGGACTTCCATGATCGCCTGTGTTCAGTTTTATAACACTTAGGAAGACCATGTTCGATGGAAACGTTCCCACGAACAAGGGGAACAAGCTCCAGGGTAAGACTCTTGAATATGTTCGGTAGTTTGTTCAGTTTTTAAACTACCGAACTAGACCGACCACAAGACCTGATTCTCTGGAACAGTTTTGGGCATGGGACCATGCGTGAGGTCGATCAAATTATGACTTCCAGGAAATTACTGTTTAAAGGTATTTTTGTTTTGGGGGTTTTGTAAAAATGCATGTTTTCTGTGCCTGGAGATAACAGAGTTTAATACAGTGCTGACTCAATTATCTCCCAGGCACAGGAGAGGGATTGACCTACTTTGTATTGGAGGGTCCTGGACCTGAGAGCCAATGCAATTGTGTATGTTTTTACTGTAGTCTACTCTCAGGTCCCGGGGGAGTGCCCCTTGCATGGGGACCTGCATATAAGGCCAGTTCTGGCTGCCATTAAACAGATTCGTTTTATCCTCCATGAAGTCTAGGCTCATGTTTGTGGAATTGGAGAGCTATATTCACTCTGGGGATTGCTATAATCACTATACTCCCTTGGATTACAAAGATTGCTCTTGTAAGAGCAGCCTGCTTTGCTCTATGGACTAAGAGAGGTCTACCCACTGGAAGCTAGATCCTGGTCTTCGGCCCAGGGTGGGTGGAGGACAGCGAGACCCCAACCAAGCTGCGCCGGTTTGTGGGGTTTACAGTGGTTATGGTGTCAAGTGCGGTGCTTATGGTACTAAAGGATTACTAGGAAGCAGCGATTGACGTGGGTACCCAGTCGGGGTGCCAGGCATTCCGTCACAGTGAGATACTAAAACATAATTATTATAATTCTAACAGAAGTAAAGAGACAGACACTGACCTTTTTAGGTTTGTATTGATCCACATAGGACACCACAAAGTTGTATCTCTGCTGGTACAAACGGGGGGTGAATACTATCGGTTCCATTAGTTCTTATAAAGCAATTTTCTAACCATGAGCTATTAAATAAAAAAGGAGAAGTTGTAACTGCACATTATGAATGAAACTACCAAAACTATTATTTGTTGCACTTTGTTGATAGCGAATACGGATCATAGAATACCTTAAACCAGTGGTTTTTAACCCCTAGATTGAGAACTAGAGCTTTGCCCCATGTTTTTTCTGTAGCACCCAAGGAGTTGGGGGAGACACAGCATAACTACTATAAATTGGTCTCTATAAAAGACATAAGTAAGCTAATAAACCATGCAAAAATAGATTTGCTAAACCAACCAAAATTTATACAAAAAATGAAAGTGTAGGTACATTGAAAACTGAGATGGGGGTGTTAATACAGATGAGGTAAAGGCAGAAATGTTAAATAACCATTGATCCTCAGTATATAATAAGGATGGCTAAAGATATGCAAATGTTTGCTGCAAAAACTTGTAGAAAATTTGTGATTGGATGACAAAACAAAGTGCTGTAGCAACTAAAGAAAGTTAATATAAACAAAGCTCCAGGGGCCTGATGGTATTCACCCAAAAGTACTTAAGAAGCTAAGTGTGGAAATAAGTGAGCCTCTGTTTTTAATCTTTCAAGATTCTTTTCCTTCAGGAAAGGTACCTGAGAATTGGAAGGTCACAGATGTGGTTCCTACATCCAAAAAGGGTTTAAAATCCTTGCCTGACAATTATAGACCGGTAAGCTTAACTTTTGTGGCTGGGAAAGTATTTGAAATGTTAATAAGGGATAGTATTCAGGAATTCATTGAGAAGAACATTATTATCAGAAAATAATCAGCATGTTTTTTTGAAACATAGGTCATGTATAGAACAGGGTGTTGCAGTGGATGTGATCTACTTGAATTTTGCTAAGGCGTTTGACACGGTTCCACACAATAGGTTAGTGTGCAAACTCAAAGAAGTTGGTCTCGATGAAAATTAATGTTCTTGGGTAGAACATTTACTTAAAAATAGAGTACAGAGAGTTGTCATTAATGGTAAATTTTCAAGCTGGACAAAAGTGGTAAGTGGTATCCCTCTGGGTTCTGTTATTTATAAATAATCTTGAAATAAGCATTGAAAGTCATGTTTCAGTGTTTGCAGATGATACAAAACTAAGCAAAGTAATACACTGTGAGCAAGATATTACTTTCCTGAAGAGGGATTCCGATAGAATGGGGGACTGGGCACGCAAATAGAAGATACAATTTAATATAGAAAAATGCAGTTATGCACTTCAGGGTAAAGAATGCACAAGCAACTTACACCCCCTTTCCCATTAGGTAGAAAAGGCACTGACGTACGGGAGCCTGTCCTATGGGGTTGCTTGTTTTCAGCATTTATAATATGGCTTTTTTGAGGTCAAGTGGGCTGATTGGGAGAGATAAGTATATGGAGCTTTGGCCAGTGTCCTCTTTAATCCAGACAGTCTAATTAAGAATGATAGCAGAGCTGCATGAACCGATATATGAGTGACGTGTGTGAGGCTGGACAGGAAGTTGAAGGGATCACTCCACATCTGCCTTTAAAGGAAATGCCTTGCAGGAGGAGCAGGGGAAGCACTTAGTGATGCATATTGTACAAGAATTAATGCAGTTATGCGATTAAAAAAAAGGAGTGTCACTAGACTACAAAAAACATAGGAGGATGAGTACTTTGCAAATAACCCTACAGACTCCATATGCCCTAAACACCCTTTTTCCCAAAGTCTAAACAAACCCATTCCTTGGTCCCACATTTAAGCTCTCAAAGCCTAAACTTGAAAAAAAAGCCTTTATCTTAAAAGAACACTATAGGGTCTGAAATACAAACACTATTTAGGTGGCCTTAAATTTGTAGAAAACATACCTTTATTCCTACACCATGTGGGTCCGCCGGCTCTTGCAACGTCTCTGATCTGCCACCTTGGCTGAGATTATCAGAATTGATGATCCCAGCAATCCAATGTTTTCCCATAGGAAAGCATGGAGAGGTTATCATGCATGCGCGGCAAGACGCAGAGCTGCAGCTGCAGAAGAAAAATAAAACAAAGGGACTTGTGTATTTGTGCCTATAGCTTCCCATATTGGTGCTAAAATATTCCCTGCTACGTGTTTTCCAAAAGTTTTATGTCACTTTTTCGTTTCTTGATTCACAAACTTGCTGCTTAAAGGGACTCCCCAGTGCCAGGAAAACAAACTGTTTTCCTGGCACTGCAGGTCCCCTCTCCCTCCCACCCCAAGTTGCTGAAGTGGTTAAAACCCCTACACTGACTTAACTGTATCCAGCGCCGATGTCCCTCATCAGCCGGCAGGTGAGACCTATTGAGCATGCGTGGCCGGGGAGGGGGGGGTGGAAGACGTGGTCTGGGTGCCTGGAGCGTCCCTTTAATAGAAAATTAACAAAATTGTGCCTTTTTTGTCACAATGGAAAGTTTTATGTGACAGGTAAGCATCTTTTGTAATAATTCTTTTTTTGGTCAACCTATAAAAATATTATTTAAACTACAAACCAGTGCACATGAAAATGCAAACAACACTTATTAAACATAACCCTCAATATTTCTATTTTCCTCCTCATTTGCAATTTGTGCCTGCACTGTGCCGTAATTTGCTAAATATTTAATATAATTTTAGAGGTTAATGATTATTTTCAATGTTTTATTCATTGTGTGGGTCCAGAACAGTGTAGGCTTGTCTCTAAGGCTAAAATAACCAAGTTGTGAGTATAGTCAAAGGAACACTATATCATTAGGAACACAAACCTGTATTACTAATGCTATAGTGACCCTGTCTAGTTAGAAACAGATCACCGTAATTTTTTTAAACAAAATTAGGATTATTAATGATAATTACTAAATCCATTGAGATGAAGTGGCCTGGGTGACTTTAGAAGTCTTTTATGTTGGTGAATTATTATAAAAAAAAAGAAGCTATTTTTGACTAAATATTACCATTCTTAATTTGATTTTAAAAAAACTAAGTTTTGTCTTCCAGAGCAGGCATTCCAGTATATTGGTGAACTTAATCTACAACCCACTAAGTCAGACATTGGTAAAATGACAGTGGTATTATTTATAGTCCATAGTGTGATACTAGCTCATTATTACACCACTAATTAATACTTCCAACTATATCCCAGTAGAAAACACATCAATACAACTGATTGCCACCAAATACCATTTACAGATGGGAAGCAGGTCACTAGGACACCCCTTGAGTCATTCCAAGTCAGACAGTTTACTAGACCTGCCATCTACATTGTTTATTGTCTATGGACATTATAAATAAAACTTCACGTTTCAAATTGGAACAAGAACAATGAGGGCAGACCTGGCGACGCGCGAAACCACCGCTTCAGCGCGAGTTCCGATTGGTTTTCGGAATCAGGGTCAGTGATTGGTCCGTAGAATCCAAAGCTCTGATAGGCTGTCCCAGTGAACGCGCGTGATTGGCGGCCGCTTTGCATCTCTTCCGCCATCCAGGACGTTGTTACGTCAGTCCTATCCATCACGCGCTCTGTCTTGGGAGCACGTGTTGAGGGGGTGTATGGCAGGAAAACTACAGGAGTGCGCCATCTACTGGTTATACATATATATATACATATATCCGCTTGGAAATCAGTGATGGTTATTATGGGTTGCAGAAAAATAGATGCAAAAGGAGAATACTCGATTTAAATAAAGCTGAAACATAATTGCACTCCACTAGGGATGCCTGTCTTTGTGTATTTAAAGTTGGGATACAAGAACCACTGTTATTTCTGGATTTAAAGGACCACTATAGTGCCGGAAAACATACTTATTTTCCTGGCACTATATTGCCCTGAGGGTGCCCCCCGCCTCCCGCCGGGCTCTAGGGGGAGGAAGGGGTTAAACTTACCTCTTTCTCCAGCACCGGGTGGGGAGCTCTCCTCCTCCTCTCCGCCTCCTCTTCGGCTGAATGCGCATGCGCGGCGCGCACATTCAGCCAGTCTCATAGGAAAGCATTCACAATTCTGGCGTCTTCTCACTGTGAAAATCACAGTGAGAAGGACAGGAGCCCTCTAGCGGCTGTCAATGAGACAGCCACTAGAGACTGGATTAACCCTAATATAAACATAGTTTCTCTGAAACTGCTATGTTTATAGAAAAAAGGGTTAACCCTAGCTGGACCTGGCACCCAGACCACTTCATTAAGCTGAAGTGGTCTGGGTGCCTATAGTGGTCCTTTAAGTCACCAGTACATGTTTGGGGGCAGTATAATAAATAACATATGGGTCACTGAGATGCTGCAATTTTAAGGTGACCCCCCCCCCATTAGTTAAAGCATGGGTCCTCAAACTCCGGCCCCCCAGATGTTGCTGAACTACAACTCCCATGATTCTTTGAATTACATAGATAGCCAGAGAATCATGGGAGTTGTAGTTCAGCAACATCTGGGGGGGCCAGAGTTTGAGGACCCATGAGTTAAAGGATCACTTTCTCACCACGCCACCATTTAAAGGGTTGCACGAACCATTTATAGGTTTTTAGAAAATCACTGTTTGAACGGTTTGTTTATTGAGTGACCTTGCTGGAATGTCCCCAACCTTAAAAAGAGAAGAAAAAAAAACCTCACCTTTCTATTTAAGAGAGTACCAAGGCCAAGTTCCTCTTCCCCCATTGACATCACAGGGTGGACTAAGGGGAGGACTTGGATGTAATAGAGGGAGGGGGTGTACCGCCATTGGTTGTCTACAAACAGAATGCTGTGCGTGCTTACAGCAGATGCCCACTATACACAGATTTAACATTGGCTAGACACTCGCAGATGTGGAGTTACACCTCTGGAAGCAAAGAGAAGTCTAACTCTGCCTGTGCTGTATTTCAAACATACACTTAATTATCATTTTAGTTAAAACATTTTTGAGAGAGTTCAGAGTGAGGTCACCCCAACCTCCAGGATGCTGTAGTGGAACCTCATCCTTGTGGTCCAATAGTTTATTGCTGTGATCTCTCTTCACTGATTGTCCAAGTAAAAAACAGAAAAGAAGAAACGCAACAGAGAATATCTAATACACATTAGCGCCGATTGCCCAAATCTCTGCAGCTCTGTACTGATGCCGAAGCCTGGTGACATCAGATCTTGGCTTTAGCTTAAGTATAAGGCATGCAAGAGAACTGAAAACCAATTACAGAGACATCCCAGAAGCCCCCTCAACGCCGTTCTGTATTCAGTGCAGCTGTAGACAAGCGCTGGTCTGCGCTGGCATCCCCTACCCCCTGTCCCTCAAGGTGGATCACCCCACCGTCCCCGGGTTAGAAGGTCACTGAGTATCATTCATGAAGGGGTAGCCAGTCAGCTGCTGATAGGCTAAGAGTGTCAGCTGAATGGGGGTTGTAGCAATGGTGATTTTTGCAAGCTGAAGCACTTACACAAAGTATGGTATAGATGCTCACTATTTCTTAAACTGGATAGGGGCTGCAGATTATCACACAAGATTTCCCCAACCTTGTGAAGATATAGGAACAAATAACAAGCAAAAAGGAGATAATCCGCACCTATGGTTTAGTACAACTTCATGTAAATAAAGGTATATACATACAAATATGCACCAGGATCTTGTTTGTAGATAAATATATTAAAAAAACAGAAACAGAGATAACAAACCATCTAAGAGTAGTATATAGATTACAGTTGGAATAATATATTTCTATTGACAGCTCACTCACACTTTCAAGAGCTATATAGAGCTCTGCTGTTGAAGACGTGGATGGTATAATCCCTGTCTAAGGATGTAAATATAGCAGTGGTGATGGTGCAATCAGCAGTGATGATGGTGCTTTTCTTTAGTAGAGTGTGATATGAAAAGACATAGACAAGAACATCCAGTAGTGTAATATGTTTAGTACTATATGTATCTTCAAAAAAAGTAAAAGGTATTTCACACACATTTTTCAGAGCATGAACCTGCTTTAATATGACAGAGCTTTAGTGGTATGATCCCCACTTGGGCTATGCAGGTCCAGAATTGTAGTAAAATCCAGGAAACCCAAGAATGAGTATAAAGTAAATACCAAATATATAATAAGATTTACAGGAATACACTTTATTTAACAAATAAAATGTATATATAAAATATATATTTAAAATCCAAAAAGGGTAGAGACACACATAACACGTTTCACCATGGGGTTTCATCAGAAGTGACACTAAAGTGACAATAAAGTTTATGTATGTATATACTTTTATTTACATGAGGTTGTACTAAACCATAGGCGCGGATTATCTCCTTTTTGCTTGTTTTTTGAAGCACTTACATGCAAATATATGCAATTTGACAATAACAGAGGACTTCCTTGCATCCTTCTTTCCATCTGAATGGAGCATGAGATGTTTTTATGGAAACAGGATGAAAAGAAACCAGCACGTAGTGCAGCCCCTTTTACAAAATAACATACTGGCAGGAGAATGACACTGAAAGGCCCTTCATACCATAACCACTACAATGACCAGTAGCAGTTTACAGTGCTCATAAACCTTCATAAAGGTGGGTTTTGATAAGAGTCCCTCATGTCTGTACTCCCACCTCTGATGCTCGCCTTCAAGATTTCTCGATGGCTGCACAGTTCCTGTGGAACTCACTTCCCTCCTCCATTAGATGCTCACCCAGTCTCCACGCCTTCAAAAAATCATTAAAAACCCACTTCTTCATAAAAGCGTATCAATTAAACTGTTAATAGCTCCTGACTTATTCCTCTTCTGCAACTGTCACTAGTCTAATACTATCCTTACCTTTTTGTGTCATTTTACCCCACTCCCTCTAGCATGTAAGCTCATTGAGCAGGGCCCTCAACCCCTCTGTTCCTGTGTGTCCAACTTGTCTGGTTACAACTACATGTCTGTTCGTCCACCCATTGTAAAGAGCTGCGGAATTTGACGGCGCTCTATAAATATCATAATAATAATAATAATAATGTTTGATGGGCCAAAACGTTGACTGACATTATGCTTTAATAATAAAAGCTTCAATGGAGAAAGTGCAATTTAAAAAAAAAAACAACTGTAATTAAAAAAAACAAAATACAATATAACAAAACTAACTTTTATTTAGTCCAATGATGTACTAAAAATGTACTGTGTGAGGATACAGAGCACAGTCTTAGAATCCCTGTTTCCAATCCACACTCTGTTCATTGACTCTACACACTTTATAAATAAAGCTTCGGTTTTAAAAAAAGAAAACAAAACTTTTCAAAACGTAACAACGAGCCAGGCGATTGGCCCGCGTGAGCGTGGGCTGGGTGATCGTTGATTGGCTCTCACAGCAGAGCGTTCGGATTGGCTGCCTTGACCGGCGTGTTCCCACTGGCTTCTCTTCCTCTTTCCCCGCTCAATGCGTCACTTCCGATCCTCCGGTCAGACGGCCGCCATCTTTCCCCCCGGTTTCTAATGGCGAATAACAGTGCGGCGGCCCTGGCTGGGACCCCGCAGCCCCCTCAGACTGGAGGCGGTGGGAACAAGTGCGCTCCGTCCGGGAAACCCGGCAACGTCTTACCGCTATGGGGCAACGAGAAGACCATGAACCTGAACCCCATGATCCTCACCAACATCCTGTCCTCCCCGTACTTCAAGGTGCAGCTGTACGAACTCAAGACTTACCATGAGGTGGTGGACGAAATCTACTTCAAGGTAAGCTGGCTGGCCGACTGCATGCCTTCCTCAGCAGCTCCCCGGAAGCATGGCCACATTCACTCACAATCACAGCCTTCATTAGAGCGGCTCTGGCACAATAACTTTATTTTTTTTTAAATTTATTATATATACTTTTTTTTTTTTTTTAAATCTTCCTTCCTTCCTCACAGGTTATCGCCTAACTTCACCTTTATTATCATTTTTTCCCCTAATAAATCACCCCCCCCCCCCCAAACTGTGCTCCTCTTTGCGCCACCGCCGAATTCTCATTCTCAGCGCCGTCCTCTTCTAACTAATTGCTGGTAGCGAGGGGGTCACTGCCTTCCCTTGACCACCCGTTTGTTGGCTGCGCGTGTTCGGGAAGTCGTGAGCGATTCGAATGGAACCCCGGGCGTCCACGGTGCTTGGCAATCTGGCAAGGCAATGGAAGGAAGGAAATGATAGAGGTGAGTAGTGTGGGAAAGTTGCCTTGATGAAGGAAGTGGAGTAAGCCATTATTATTATTGTCATTTATGTAGCGCCAACAGATTCCGTAGCGCTTTACAATATTATGAGAGGGGGGATATAACTATAAATAGGACAATTACAAGAAAGCTTATAGGAACGATGGGTTGAAGAGGACGCTGCTCAGATGAGTCTATAGTCTTTAATCTCCACCCTTTTGTCACGTTTGTCAAGCGTATGAAAAATACGTAGGACCATGTAGCATCCTACTTTGTTTGTTTTAAAGAGAAATAGACCAAAAAAGAACAAATTGGGAAAGAGAAGAGAAAACCGTAGGAAAAAGGTAAGTTTGAGGTGACAGAGCCATTTTAAGGACTTATGAAGCATAACTTGCAGGTAAAGCATAATGGGAATTTTACTTCTACAGCAATTGGGTTCTAGCTTCTGGTGAGCTAGATTCACTGTATCTTTAACCCAATAGTAGTCCAGCCAGGACTAGCTATACATGTGGGCAACACTTTTCTATTTTTATTTTTTGGTTGAGTTTCATCCTTACAAATTGGCCTCTGATAGCAATTTATCTTATGGCTTAACTTTACCTGAAGTTTGGCAGATCATCATGGGCAGCACAGTCCAGACAAGGTGGAATGGTTCTATACCATGCCTAATGCAGATTGACTAATACAGCAACATGATGTGTGATTATATTTCTTGTAGGAAAATGAAAATACATGCATCATTTGACTTTTTTAAATTTTATTTTTGAAACCAGAAAATCCTTTTTTAACAAATAAACAAAACCAAAATAGAAAGATTTTAAAAAATATGTAATAAACATTTACAAACTTACCTTAAACCCAACACTGACGCCTGCTCTGACTGAATCGCACTGATCAGACTCTTTGTATCATACTGATCACTCTTTTACTCCGGTTAGCATGTTGCAAGGTGAAAAGATCTTCAAACTGCACGTATGTAAATCTGTCAGGCATGCCCAATCCAATTTTCCAGCTTTCCTGGGAATAGGAAAAAAGAGCGGGGAGACAGCGCCTGTAGAATTGTTCTCAAATCCGGTGATATATGAAATAAGCAGAAAAACATAATATAGTGTAGTATATTATGAATCCTGGTGGAATATTAAAAACAGAAAAGCACTTACAATTTTCTGGAGCTTATGTTCAGCTCCAGATTGGTGAACATGGACTGAACATACCCTGTCTATGGATAATAGTAGATCCTGGTGCTTCTTAATAGGTTAGTCCCAGGCTATGGATTGTTGTCCCGCTGGTGGGCGGTCAGATGTCCTAAGCAGAGAGCAAATCCAGGTATTGCTCAATCCTACAAGGCTTAGGTGGGTTGATCCCCACCAAGGATGTTCCTGTGAGAATCTTCAGGATAAAAATATTTTCAAATAGGTCTGGAATCTCCAAGGTAGTGTAAAGCAAATACTTTATTTTAGATGATAAAAACATAAAACATAAAAAGATAAATAACACTAACACGTTTCACCTCTGACAGGCTTTCGCAAAGTGAGAGAGCCTGTCAGAGCTCTGGCCTATCTTTGAAAATATTTTTATCCTGATATTTTATCCTGAAGATTCTCACAGGAACATCCTTGGTTGGGATCATCCCACCTAAGCCTTGTAGCATTGAGCAATACTTGAATTTGCTCTCTTCTTAGGACATCTGACCGCCCACCAGCGGGAGAACAATCCATAGCCTGGGACCAATACCTATTAAGAAGCACCAGGATCTACTATTATCCATAGACGGGGATTGTTCCGTCCATGCGCATCAATCTGGAGCTGAACATAAGCTCCAGAAAATTGTAAGTGCATTTGTTTTTAATATTCCACTAGGATTCATAATATACTACACTATATTATGTTTTTCTGCTTATTTCATATATCTCCGGATTTGAGAACAATTCTACAGGCGCTGTCTCCCTGCTCCCTTTTCTGCATTTTTACAATTTACACTGCCACAATATGCATATCTTGACAGTATTTCACATGTCTTTTACCCCATCTTCATAATGTAAATTATTTTTTGCCAGAAAAAACCCCAGGAGACACTATAAGCACCAAGACAACTTCAGCTCTTTAAAAATCTTCAATGTGGGGCTTTCTATTCATTTCTTTTTTGTTCCTTCCCCCGCCCCCATTTTAATTTGTTCCTTCTGTTATTACAGAAACATAACTGCAAATTATTTGGCTTGGATTTTAAGGGTTTATTCACTTAGCAGGAAATTGAAAAACAAAGCGTTAATATTAAGATAAAATGCTGCATTGTGTAAAAAAAAAAAAAATGCATCCACTTTCTCTTTTTTTTTCATCTTTGCAATTTTTCCATAAAGTTTGCAATTTGATTTCACCACAATTCACTGCTCAGTATGTAAAGTCTTTAGGAGTCAAACATATTAACTTGCTTGTAAGTTGCTTATGTTCCCAGTGACTAGTTTTTATCTGGAACACATTACTGTTCTCTGTGAAAACACAGTACTTGGCAATTACGCTTTCCTGTCTACCATATTGTGTGGCAGGTTTGCTCGTTATGTAATTAAAGTACACATTGTAATCTCCTTATCGTAGGAGGTACAGGATCTGTCTTTTTCTGCTCTGAGCTGTGCAATAGATCTTTCCTTTAAAAAATAATTGTGAAACTTCATATGGTGAGTATGGAAATTGAATTTAGTGCTGCTCATATTATTTAAAATATATAAATATAAATATATATATATTTTTTTTAATATGAAAATATCTGAATTTTTAATCGGAGGTGCTATTTTATGTAGCTAACCTGGCCATGGAAACATTGGTTTACAGTTGATTTGTTTGTCTTAAAGGACCACTATAGTGCCAGGAAAACATACTCGTGCCCCCTCCCGCTGGGCTCTGGGGGAGAGGAAGGGGTTAAACTTACCTTTTTCTCCAGCGCCGGGTGGGGAGCTCTCCTCCCTCTTCTCCTCTTCGGCTAAATGCGCATGCGCGGCAGGAGCCGCGCGTGCATTCAGCCAGTCCATAGGAAAGCATTCACAATGCTTTCCTATGGACGCTGGCGTCTTCTCACTGTGAGTTTCACAGTGAGAAATGCGGAAGCCCTCTAGCGGCTGTCAATGAGACAGCCACTAGAGGCTGGATTAACCCTAACATAAACATAGCAGTTTCTCTGAAACTATGTTTATATAAAAAAGGGTTAACCCTAGATGGACAAGGCACCCAGACTACTTCATTAAGCTGAAGTGTTCTGGGTGCCTATAGTGGTCCTTTAATCATGTATTGCCCCACTCCAACTTGTTTACATGTTGTACTTACAAATTCTTTCTTGCTGCTATGAGGCTTTGAATTTACCTGGTATTTGTAGCTTATACAAATCTTGCATAAAAAAAAAATATATATTTAAAAGTGTAATTGCTATTATACATGGAAATAGAAGCAGATCTGTCTGAATTACAAAATGGAGGCTACAGTAGCCAATATGCCACTATTACTTAAAAGTAATTTAAAAAAAAAATTTTTTTTCTATAAATCTGCTATTGGTTAATTTTTTATTTTCTTTATTTTTTTTACTGCTACATCTCCTCACACAATGTGCAATAGGTGCCTGTGGCATCTAATGTTCTAGAAGAGAATCATGCAAATGAGTACTTAATATTCCTGGTAGCTCCATCTGTGTTTTGTTAAGCAATGGACACCTACAGTTTGAATGGGTGATCCAGCTGTAATGTAGCTTTGGTTTTGCCATGACATTTTAGAGAACTATGTAATTTAAATATTACTTTGTGAAAATGCTATTATTTCTATGTGCATAAGTGCAGGTAATAAAATTGCATGCTAAAGAATGTCACGTACAAATGTTTATGCACAAGCATGCTCAAAGGCTCCACCGTTCATATGGGCTTATTTGATGGCAAACATGCTATATAGTCATTGAGACTGGCTCACCTTGGCATATTCTGAACAAATTAAAATAAAAGGCATAAAAAGTTAATCTTGATGGTAAAGCTCTTTGAGAGGTTGGGTTCAGACAAAGTTAAAATGTTAAAACTTCTGGTAATTTTTTTTTTTTAACTTGCCAAAGAATAGGTCTCTGCAATTTGCATTGTACTCTCTCCATGCAAACTCAGTGACATTTCTTTTTATAGGAACAAAGTATTTGTCACTCTGTCTTTGATCAGCGTGGAATATGTAATCTCATATTATCATTTTTCAGGTAACACATGTTGAGCCATGGGAAAAAGGCAGCCGGAAAACTGCTGGGCAGACAGGGATGTGCGGAGGGGTAAGTACAAGTACGTGACTTCTCATTTTTGGTGCTTTAACTGCCTCCAGAGAGAGGCTGGAAATTTTCTCATTCTCTCTCTGTGCCTCTTCTCCATCCCACTTTCTGTTTGTATTTTCCGGGCAACACTTTAAAACACTTATTTGAATAGAAAACAATACATAATTACTCTTGCCTTTTTACATTGTCATGAAAAGGATGGAGGGTAAAAATAAAAAAAGGTTGAAATGTGAAGGTAAGTAATTCTGGGTTCGCCACTAGAAGTTTTTGTTTTGTACGTTTGCTATAGGATTAATATTTTTTTGTACTGCTGTTACACAAGTAGCATTGACTGCAATGTGTCAAGCGGTCTAACTGACATGGGATACTTATTTTCTACAGATTTATTCCTGCTGGAGAACAAGATTACTTTATTGGTTAGCAATATTTTGTATAATCTTCATTCAGGGCCAAAATTTAAAGGCAAGAAATTTTATATTGTGTGTGTGTGTGTATGTATGTATGTATGTATGTATATATATATATATTCTCCAGCGCACTCCCTTATCTACTAAACCGCTACTTTGGTGCTGACAGATTTTACTAGTTTTATTAAAAACACCTAATCTAGGCAAAAAAATAATGGAGATTTATAATGTAACTAAATCCCCATTATTTTTTTGCCTAGATTAGGTGTTTTTAATAAAAGTAGTAAAATCTGTCAGCACCAAAGTAGCTATTTAGTAGATAAGGGAGTTCGCTGGATTTTCATTTTTATTGTACTTATTGGCCCCCAGCAGCACCCCATTTAAGCATGTTCAGGTGAGTGCAGCCAGCCCCGTGTGTGTGTGTGTGTATATATGTGTATATATATATATATATATATGTGTGTGTGTATATGTGTATATATATATGTGTGTATATATATATATGTATATATATATGTATATGTATGTGTGTGTGTATATATATATATATATATATATATATATAAATAGCGAAGGCTTGCACTCCTGGTGTAATCCTGTGGTGCCCGGTGCTGGTCTGGCAAGGATCATGTAGACATAGCAGAAATGACCGCACTCCAAGGACTTTATAGAGATTTTCAAATAAAATTTAGCTTTTATTCAATCCATTTAAAAAGTCAACGTTTCAGCTCCCACATGGAGCTTTCATCATGTTTTGTCCTGATGAAAGCTCCATGTGGGAGCTGAAACGTTGACTTTTTAAATGGATTGAATAAAAGCTAAATTTTATTTGAAAATCTCTATAAAGTCCTTGATGCGGTCATTCTGCTATGTCTATATATATATGTATATATGTATGTATGTGTGTATATGTATATATATGTGTGTGTGTGTGTGTATATATATATATATATATATATATATATATATATATATATATATATATATATATATATATATTTATTTCTCATAACTTCAAGGGAACCTATAGTCCCAAAAATATAAATAATTTTTTTTTTTTTTTTTGTGAGGGGGAGGAATTGTAGATCTCCTTCTATTGATGTGATCATTGTCCCAACCCCTTTGCTTTAAAATGTAATTTTTTTTTAACCTAGTTTCCAGCGCAGAGTCTTCTCCACTGCAGTTGCCCACTCCACCTTCCTAGGCATGCCAAAAATATGTCTAACATATTCATAATCTTGTTCAATCTAGTGTTTCACATACACAAGCATTAGATTGGAGATTCACAGGCAAACATTACTCCAATCTAGTGGAGCTATGAATTACATTTGATTGCAGGGCCTAGTTTCATTCTGTTCTAGAGGATGTTCTTCTAGTGGTTAGGAAGGCAGCCACTAGCGTTGTATTTAACTCTGCAATGTAAACATTGCAGTTCCTACAAAACTGCAGTGTTTTACATTGCAGGGTTAAAATGACAGGGCTACTTGTTGAGATTACATTGTCTGGGTGGCTTTAGTGATCCTTTAAATTCATTGAAGTTATGTGGGTAGGAGTATCTGCGCACTATCTTACCTTCAGGTATTAAACATTGTGCAAAGGTGGGGCTCCCAGCTTTTCCTCTCTGCATTATGAGAGGATTCACTGATTCTGTATTATTAGAGAAGAAGGAAGTCAGGGGCAGCAGTGTCGCGTGCTGGAGCTTCAACAACGTGGGTTAAAACCTTGCAAAACTCCTGACAGTGAGACTGCACTTGGATACTTCTCCTTCATAACTTAACTTTAAGCCCAAGTGGTTATGGTACTGGAAGTGTTCCTTCAATCAACACATATATAATTAGTCCTACTCTCACACATACCTGATCATTCACAATCATACCATGCCCTGCCTCTCATAATCACATACCAGAGTATCCATACATGGTGTCACAAACCTAGCTGTTTACACCTATTTTGTCTGGAACATCCCAAATTCGCAATGACCTTGGTGCTAACCTTCATTGGTGGTAAGGAGCTGGGAGGAAGAGATTTCAGTTTGCAGTACGTTCCTTTGTGTCTAGATGGCTCACTTCCAGTTATAAAGAGTCTTTAAAAAAGATTTGAGCATTTCTAGCCATTTTATATTAGATGGAGCTATAAACACACAGATCAGCCATTCTGATGGGTAGTTTATCAGCCTAGAAAATGTAGTGCAACAGCAGTGTCAGATGTTAGCCATCAGGGGCTTCTGAAAAACAGTGTTCTTGTTTTGTTTTTTCAATATAGAGATATAGATAGATATATCAGGTGACCAATTTATTTATTTGTATCTTTTGTGGGGGTTTTTTCACGTAAGTTTTTGTCTTGTCAATGCTGCTAATGTCCAAATAACATGTTGGTGTCTGCATTTCTAGGTGCGTGGGGTTGGCACAGGTGGCATTGTGTCTACTGCATTTTGCCTTCTGTATAAGCTCTTCACATTAAAGTTGACCAGAAAGCAAGTGATGGGTCTTATTACACACACAGATTCCCCTTACATAAGAGCACTTGGATTCATGTACATAAGGTAAGGAGTGTTTTCAGGTGTCTGTCTGACAGGCTTGCTCTGTCAAAATCAACCAGTGAAATAGTCAGCAGATGTGTAGACTAGACTAAAATTTAGTTGAATTGTGTTTAGAATGTCTTAACTCTTTAGTTCAGTGTCATCCTTTACATTGTCCTATGTAACTTAGAAAATTGGTATAGGAAAGCAAAACCAGGATACTTTTTGGAAACCTCATCCAATTGACCGCAAATATGACTGGAATTTTATTGAAAAATGTCATCGCTATCTTGGACATATTTATGAACATGCTGAAGAATTGAATATCTTTCCAACAGACTACTTTGTACTATTGGATAACCTCCACTGTGGTGTTTTTTTTATTTTTATTTTTTTTTTATTTTTTTCTTGCTGCATCGAATTCCAGGAAATAAAAAAATAAAAAATTAACCTGGGATTAAGTCTGCTTTGTGGGTTAAATGATGCGCATGTCACCTTTCCACTCAAAAAAATTAGCATTTGTTACTGTTCAGGTAGAATGTCAGTTTAATAGGAGTTTATTTTCGCTGTAGGCAATGTGCTTTGTGCTTGTAATGCAGAGTGAATCTCTGCATGCCCTTGTGATTTGTGGATCTTTTTTAGTGTCTCCTTTCAAGAGAACTGTAAAAGAACATTCTAGTGGGGATTACATTTAACATTTTACTTACATTTTAGTAGATATACCACAATGAATACATGCATGGATTTAATGCTAGTTTTTAATTATTTTGTAATTGGGAGAGAGAAACTGTAGGGCCCAGCACATAGAACACTTCATTGAGATGAAGTGGTATATTTGATTTATAGTGGTCTTTTAAGTGTTTTTGATGGTTGATTTATTTATTGGGAGTAGTGTGGAGGGTCTCATAATTAAGCTTTTCACTCTGTAACTTTTTTGGTTTTAGCTACCCTGTACTTATAGCTACACTCAATGTTTTCACAAAGCAGCTTCTTTACTAGGTGTATTCGGATTGCATTTTCATCCAATAAGAGATCAGTGTGAGCTGAGCTGCTGTGCAAAGGGGAAAGGGTACGAATAATAGGAGAACAATTGATTTATAGCATACATCACAATATTGCTAGCTGCTTGTGCCTGATGTCCTTGGATGTGGGACATTTAGTGTCTGGCTAATGGATAAGCATCCTTTTATCAGCTTGTCTAGCATAAGGCTACTTATCAGTATGTTACAAACTGTATGAGCTAACGTTGATTGCTTTGTTGGCTAATTGTCAAATTTATTACAGATACACTCAGCCACCAACAGACCTATGGGACTGGTATGAAGACTTCCTTGATGACGAAGAGGTATGTCATCAAGGGTAATAATTTACTTTTCATTTGTGCTTTTTTGCATTTAGTCAATAATAACTTTCCACATTGACACCTTACGTATATGAATTATTTATCTGTACTTAACAAGGAAATTATGTTAATTGAGTAGTGGAGTTCAAATGACTACAAATTACGGTTACTGACTGTGTTGTGTTTGTGTGTGCACGCAGTGTATGAGCATATAGTACTTTAATTTCTTTCAAGGAGTCTCTTGGTGTCATGAATACATGTTCACATTTACAGACCTGCTAAAGCACATTCATAATCTCCTTTGCTATTTCGTTCCAAAAACTCAAAATATTTAGAAAAGCAGAGCATCATGGGGAAATGTAATTTGCAAGTATCTGCAGTGCCAAATTTAGCCATCGCTAAAAACATTGACTTTGTGTCCATTCATACTTAAGCTAACCTGCTGTTTTCTCCTCTAGATCTTTGTGCTGCATCAGTTGTATTGGGCGAACTTAATCTGAACACATACGTGTGTGTGAGTGCAAGCAGTTTTACGTTAAGATTCGCCTCTAATTCTGGTCAGAGCTTGAATTCAAAGCATTAGTTCTGGGGGAAGTGGACATTTTATCTGAAATTTAAAATACACTGGGTTCTGTAGACTACTTAAATTATGTCTATTACTCGCAACTTGTCCCACAATATTATTTTTGGGAAATATGGGTACTACTTCAGTAAAGGGTATCTGCTTTAAAGCACCATCATTTTTTTTATTTTATTTTTTTTAGGTTCTTTAGTTAGAGGAATTGTCCCTACCTCACTTTCAGCACATTCAAATGGCTAGCTAAATATTGGTTGTGCTAGAAGTTTTCTAAAAAAATGTTTGTTTTCCTGCATACTTATTAAAGTATGTAAATTGGTAAACTGTGTCCTATGGTCTGTACATGCGCGTGGATAGAATTTATATTAGATACCCTAGCTGTAATAGGAACAAAGAACGGTCAATGTGACCGTTCCTCTTTAAAGGAGCACTACAACCCTAACATCCCATTTCTTTTGCTCTGAGAAGCAGTGCTGCTCTCTTCGCGGCTGGCCCTGCCTCCTTTGTTGAGATCATCAGTATTAATAATCTCAGCCAAACCAGTGCTTTCTCATAAGATTAAGACTAGTACGCATGTGCTACGAGAATCGGATGGTATCGATGAGAACATCTGATTAAGAAAAAGCCAAGTTGTACTCTTTCTGCAGAAGCGGCTCTAGTGACTACCAGTGTGACAGCCACTAGAGGCATTCAAACCCTGCAATGTAAACATTGCTATTCCTGCAGAAGAGGGACATGGCACACGGACCATTTCATTGAGATGGTGTGCTCTGGGTGCCTATACTTTGTTTTTTCATGGAGTTGTGTATGAATTTCTTTGTGGCTGGCTGTGAGTGATATATTGCAGGCAAAATTACACTTATAGGATACGCCGGCTATAATTACTATTATAGTTTTGTTCTGCACAGTTAGAAACATAGTTATTAGGCCACAATAAAAAATAAACTGTACCAATCAAATACATACTTATCATGTTGCTTCCTTTTCTACCCTCATTTTTGTTTTAGGACTTGGATGTGAAGGCAGGCGGAGGCTGTGTAATGACTATAGGGGAAATGTTGCGTTCTTTTCTCACAAAGCTGGAGTGGTTTTCCACATTGTTTCCAAGAATTCCAGTACCTGTCCAGAAGCATATAGATCAGCAGATCAAAACCAAGCCAAGGAAAGTTAAAAAGGAAGGTGCAGAGGAGTTGGAGGAAGTGGATAGACACACTGAGAGAAGACGGTCCAGGTGAACTGTTAGATTTTTCAATGTCTTTTGTGTATTATATACAATTTTTTTTTTTTTTTTTAATTGATGTAGTATTAATCAAACCAAATTTATAAATGGTGCAGAAACTATTATGTAATAGTACAATTTTAATGTTTAATTTTGTAGTTAACAGACGTACAATTAAATGTATAGATTGGGAGATTAACCAATCTAAAAATGCAATGTGATGGATTTGATTAATCCCGACCTAACCAATTCTTCTAGTGCTGGCCAGGAGTATAAGCACACATCACCATTTCCAGATGCTGACATTGTAGCTAGGATGTTGGCATCGTGGATGTTTGCCCTGCTTGGGGACGTGTCCTTATGCAAGGCAAATCATAGAGCATGGGACCGGAGGTGGCTACTATAATGGAACACTCAAAGAGCTGCCGTTATAAAAAGTAAATCTGATTGTGTATTTTTGTTTTGTTATTTACAATATGTATTCAATGTCCATGGGGGCAGTCCTCTATTAAAGTGAACCTGTTATGACTACATGCATTTTCTATGCATATGTTTCGACTTTTCACGAATTCCTGTGGGCGATGTTGGGGTCATTCATAATCCCTAAAGGTTAATCTGTGGGTGCGGGGGGGGGGGTTTTGGCTTTGCGTGGGTGTTTCCCAGTCAAATGCGATATGTGCAATTAATCTTGAATCACTGATTATACAAACAACCTGCAAGGAATATAACCGGTTATGTTTCATTTGTAGAGATTCATTTTTTTAAATTTTTGTTTTCTTAACTTTTGAATGCAGAAATATTAAGACTTTTCTATTTTATTTAGGTCTCCAAAAAGATCAGCTAGCCCCAGAAGATCACCAAGAAGATCCAGAAGCAGGAGTCATCACAGGGAACACCATGGAACTTCAAGCTTTGACCGAGAATTGGAAAGAGAGAAGGAGCGTCAGCGTTTGGAAAGAGAATCCAAAGACAAACGTAGGTCAAAAAGCAATGAACGAGGGGTGGAACGTAAAAGAAGCAAAAGCAGGGAAAGACATAGAACAAGGAGTCGAAGCAGAGATCGTAAAACAGACCGTAAAGAGAGAGAGAAAGAAAATGAGCGGAGCAGAAAGCGGGACTATGACCGGAAAGGTAATGGCAAGGATGCAGATAGAACAAGAGAGAGGTCAAGAGAACGCAAAAGAAGTGAGGAGAAAAGGGACAGGGATGATAAAAGACACAGAGATGACAAAGATTCTCGTAAGGAACGAAGACATAGTAGAAGCCGAAGTAGAGATAGGAAGCAGAAGAGCAGTAAAAGTCCAAGCAAAAATGCGAGTGGGCGAAGTCATAGCAAAGACAGGTCAAACCGACATAAGGAGAAATCCTATAAGCGCAGCAAAAGCCGAAGTCCAACAGACAGTATGGAGAAGTCAAGAAAACGTGACCGTAGTTCAAGCAGGGAGAGACCACGAAAACGTAGTAGGAGCAAGGAACGAGGGCATAAACGTGACCATGAGAGCAAAGACCATGAACGTCACAGTTCTGACCTCGAGGAAAAGAATCGAGGCAAAGATGAGACTCAGTGACATTTTGAATAAGTGGATCACATTGAATCCTATTTCTTTTGGGCTTTTTTTTTTTTTTTTTTTGCCCCAACTTCCCATTTTATTTTGTCAAAGTTCTAAACTGTTCTGTAGCACTCTTCTGTAATCTGTTTAATTTTTATTAGTTGTTTTTTTTTGTTTTTTTTGTTCCTCCCTTTATTTTTAGACTGTGTAAAATCTTAATTCCCAGTTCATTATGTAGGGAAGTGCCTTTTGGGAGTCCCTTGTGCATTGGACATAATGCTACCTTCCCTGCATTTGCTGAATCCCCCAATGCGCCTGTTGTTGCATTTTTATTGGTTCAGTGTTCTTGAACTGTACAGCTTGTACATGAAATTCCCTGATGTTTTAATTCCATTTTGGCACAATAGACCTGCAGGTTCAGTTTGTAAGGGGCACTAAATTTGCCACTTCTCTCGTTCTAATGCTTGTGAGGTTGTGATTTCCTCCTGACGCAGAGTGCATGGCTTAGCTGACTTTTTGTTAGGACAGCTATTTGACTTTTGTGTTTTCTAAAACCGATATGAATGCAGAATTGAAATTTGTGTTATTGTCCAACTGTAAACGATTTTTTAAAAAAACAAAAAAATTTACATTTTGATCTATTATGTCAGATGACTTTATCAGTTGCATTCCTTCACCAATTCTTTGCTCCCCAACAAAGCTATCAGGGGAGTGGACAGTGTTTATAAAATGGAACAAAACATTTTATTGCTTTTAAGGGATTTATGTCTATAATGAGCACACTGTGGATATCCGTTAATTATGTGTTTTACTGCAGCTCAGTCTTACATTTTAGAGCGAAGTGGAATCTTAAAATCTGCATTAGACCGTTCTCATTGAATGAGAATATCAAATGGCTAGCAATATGATCATACATCAGGAATTCAGTTTGTGAACCATTTGAAGCTGCAGTCTGCTACACATTGAGTTATAAGAGTTGAAAAATAATGCAAGTGTGTGTAGAAGTAGACTCATAAAATTTGTCTCTTGACAAACTATCCACTATTTGCTCTTGTAATACTTTTGAAAGTGGTGTTAATTTACAAATGAATAGTGTCTCCTCCCTTCCTGCTGGTAAATGGTTAGTGTGCACAGCACTAGCCAAGATTTAAATTCATACAACGTTTTTATTTTTATATTTACATAGTGGAACAAAATAAATCTTTGTGCGTATATGTACAAATAAACATATGGTTGAATACATATGAAGAGTAAAATAAGTAGCATTGAACACTAGCCCTGAACTCATAATCTCAGAACATTTACATCAGTTTTGTCAAAAGGGCTAATAGGGAAGTCTCATTTCTGTATTACATGGTCTTCTGGGGAAGTTTGTATCATGTACTTGTGCATCAAAAGTGCTGGAAAGAGGTTACCAGGATTCCAGGGAGAAGGCTAACATCAATGAATGCATTTTATAAAGATAAATATAAAATACTTATTCAGTTTGAAATTGTTTTAGGACATTTTATTAGAATCTTGGTTTTGTGGTTTATAACAACTGGGTATCCAAAGGCCTGCAAGGTCGTGGGCTGAGTTGCTCACTTAATTTCAAATTTATAGCCATGTGTTTTGTTGCATGTTCCTTTTTGAGATCGAGAATGTGGCATTGATACACTTTACATTTCAGCTATGAGCTTTTATGCTATGGTTATGTATAATAACTCATTAAGGCACAGTGACACTGTCTTAAAGTTCCAATTCTAAAATAGGACAACAGTCCTTTAACAAATGCATGGCTAAATTGAGCTCCCTCTAGAGAACATATGACTGCAAAGCGTAACATTTAGTCCTGAAAGGGATACTCTAAGTACCAAAATAGCTTTATCTTAATAAATTTGTTTTGGTGTATAGTTCATGCTCCTGCAGTCTCGCTGCTCAATTTTACTTATGCATACCTCGTTCTGTGACTCTCATATCCTGCATGGGGAAAAAAAATCAATCAGATCTTCGCAAAACAGTTTATTTACTTTAGATTTTTATTTTTTATAATTTCCTGCTCTGTTCAATTAAGTTTAATCACACACAAGAGGCTCCTGCAGGTAATAGCGGCAATTAACAGAGCTGGAGAAATTTCCAACTGAAAAACTATTTTCAATGAAAAGTTCAAATATTAGATCGCTCTTACAGGATATATGTAGAGGCTGTGTAAGTCCCATGTCAGGAAGATGTAACTAGGAAATTAACTGCTCAATTCTATGCCATTTAATTGTCAGACTGCAGAAGCCTAATCTATACAACAAAACCACTTTATTAAAGGACCACTCCACATTTGAAGAAAGTTTAGTAGATATACCCCAATGAACACATGCATATATATTTTTATGTATGTATTCATTGGTCGTATAGTGTAAAATCGCTTGCAAAACCTGCAGTTTTTATGACTGCATCCTTTATAAGCCCTCCCTTTTTTCACAGGAAGTGACTTTAATTCACTTTAGATAATTGTCCAATCAGATACATCTTCTAGGAAAACCCCTGTTTCTATTCTATTTTAGCTTCTCGTCCCCTTCCTCTTCTGTGCTTGCCGACCATGTAGTGGGTTCTTTTTTTTTTTTTTTTTATGGTTAGTTACGAAAGATTATTAGGTTAACTGACAGTCTGACTAAAGATGCATAAAAAGGGCTGGTGTGAAAGGTAGGCAAGTGATTTCTTCAAAAATTCTAATGAATTAGGATAAAAATGCAACATTAAAACAGATTATATTAAGAGATTACGATTTTCTAATTATCTCTTAACATAGGTAAGTAATATCTACTTTAACCCCTTAAGTACACATGACATGTGACATTTCACGATTCCCTTTTATTCCAGAAGTTTGGTCCTTAAGGGGTTAATGTAGATTAATCACAGTAATATAGTCATTAAATGAATTGTCCTTGCATAGATCAGAGCTGCAAGACATTTACTACTTGAGGATATCAAAACTGTTCTTGTTACCTAAGATCTTAAACCGTGCATTTAGACACAAAAGTAAATTGAATGCATTTATAACGACTTTATAGAATTCTTTAAATTTTTTTTTTTTTGAGCCATATATTTAATCTTAAAGAAAAAAAACATAATGCAAATCATGTATTTTAACATCTTCTGTCTTCTCATTATATATTGAATTTCAACTTTTAATAAGTGTGCCTGTAGACAATCAGGTTTTTTTTGTTTTTTTTTCTTATTTTAGTTTGAGAGGTGTGAGTGTTAGCAGCTGTGGCCCGTAAACGATTGTGGCAATCATGTTGCTTCAGTATGGGATTTCAAGGACTCTTGTTTTCCTGTATCAAGCTGGAAGACAAGTCAAATTTAAAATAGTAAAGGAATATTTAACATAGTCAGGAACACAAACTTTACAATCAACATCTAACCCCACTGGCCTCCATTAACATAGTAAAATCTTACTTTTATTCCAATCTGCTGCTGCAACCTCTGCCCCTGATTTACCTGCTTGGCTGACATAAACAGAAGTGTTGATGTGAGCCAATAACAATGCTTTCCTGTAGGAGCTTGTCAAGGAGGCAGATCAGAGGCTGCAGCAGATTGGAATAAAAGTAAAATGTTACTATGTTGAGAGAGGCCAGTGGGGCTAGATGTTGATTTGTAAAGTGTTGTGTACAACCCAAGTACATCCCTGGTCAATCATCATCTACTCGTAATGATACAGTGAATCAATGCATCTATGAGGAAACAGAGTCTCTGCAGAATGTGGAGACACTGAAATGAAGCACTGCCCCCAGAATCACACCGAGTAGCCACTTGAGGCTGTAATGTAAACACAAACTTTTCTCTGAAAAGATCATGTTTACTGCAAAAACATGAAGGGATTGCTTATACTCACCAGAACAAATACAGTAAACTGTAGTAGTTCTGGTGACTATAGTGTCCCTTTAAGCTAAATAACTGATTATCCTATTCCACATCCTCCACTGGCTGCCTCCAGCAACATTGTCTGGTTGTTTCCGAAATCACAATTTGACTAAGCCAGATAGTTGCAAGTCTAACCAAATTGAAGATTTATATTTTTTCCCAATGCTGCTGTTTTGAGCTCACCCGTTACATTTCTCCAAATCTTCAGTGTTATTTTTTTTTTTTTCCCCTCCAAAAGTACTGCTGTACATGATGTCGAGACTAAGGTTTTAGGGTGCAGTTACCGTTCCACTTTTGGCTTTCTACAGTAGAAAGTTGACAGTAAAACTTCCAGAAACTCTTACTTTCCCATATTTAGTCTGCAGTGTTCCTTTACGACTTCATCACAACCTGGAACCCACTATGCAGCTCCAGTTAATCATCTTATACCCTTCTATTTTACATACCTCAAATCTTGGTGACTCTACCTAATGAAGTCAAGCATTTTTAAAGGACAACTGTAGTGCGGCACCATAGGGTTATTAGGTCTGCCGCTCCCTCAGCATCCCCCTCACGCTGGGCTGAAGGGGTTAAAACCCCTTCAGACAGACACTTTAATGTGGCGCTGGTAACCTCTCCTCGTAAGAGCCACACGTGCATTCAAACCGCCCAATGTTTTCCTATGGACGTTGTTTCTTTGATTTTCACACAGAATTGCAGAAGCAGTCGCTAGTGGCTGTCAAGTAGACGGCCACTAGAGGCTGTATTAACCCTCAATGAAAACAGCAGTTTCAGAAAAAAACTGCTGTTTTCAGCTACAAGGTTAAAACCAGGGGGACCTGGCACCCAGACCACTTCATTGAGCTGACGTGGCCTGGGTGCCTATAGTTGTCCTTTTAAGTTATTTGGCTGGGTAGGATTACGGGTCTCCTGCTAGCCTACCTAGATAAAGGTCTTATTTCTGTATAAGTACTATACCAAAATTCCTCCAATCCTCACCTGATTACTTTTTAGATGCTCCAAGAAAAAAATACAGGTTCACTTTCTCCAGCAGTGTTCACAGCAATAAGGTACAGGGTGCTGTTTCTGAAGGGAATCTCACAGGACAGGGCTGATGTTCTGCAGACTGTGATGTTATCAGCTATGTCCAAGACTCTGTATTCCTCAGTATTTGTGGATTGATACCATGAAAGCAGCATGTTTCCATTTGCCGTTTCCGGGTCATTTACACGGGGAGAACATGGCGCTGAAATAAAAGTATGAAAGCTGATTTTATACCTACAAAACTTAAAGGGGGGAGGGGAGGTGGTGGTATTAGTGTTATTGTAGATATAAACAATATTAGGCTATGAGACTTGTTCCTGTAAAAAAAAAAAAAAGCTAAAAACAACATTGATATAATTGTCTTTTCAACACCGCTATATTTCTTTTATGTTCCCACTTGAGCAAACCATCAATGTTTGTATCTTCTTCCCATACACGAAGCCAGGTATTGCCTGATTTCTAGCTTTAAAGATATTGCAAGGAAAGAAATAACATTGAAAGCAAGAACTGGGTGTAAGAGTGTACTATTTAAACACCATTTTGGCTTAATTTCAATTGTGTATAGTCCTTGAAAGGGTGGGGATTTTGAGAGTATCACTCAATCCCTGTTTCCAATAAAAACTATTTATCTTCTATTTGGCACTGCCAACAAATATAAAAACGGTTTCTACCTCCCTATTCCATCTTAAGTCTCCCCCCCACCTTCCCTTTGCTAGCTCAGAGTGTGTGTGCCTGTACTATAACACAGTTAGATGGACCTATCAAAGGCTTCTCTTTGAGAAGCTTGTTTAGATCCCGTCACTGTATTAAAGGAACACAATAGGGTCAAGAACACAAACATGAATTCCTGAACCCAGTAGTGTTAAAACCACCATCTAACCTTCTAAATATAGCAAAATCTTACTTCAGTCTGCCCCTGATCAGCCTGCTTGGCTGACAATCAAAAATGAAATCCTGAGCCAATCACAATGCTTAACAATAGGAAAGCATTGGGTTGGCAGAGCTTGTCAAAGAGGCAGACAGAGCCAGCACAAGCCAAACATGGTTCTGGCCAATCTGCATATTATCATAGAGATGCAATGAATCAAGGCATCTCTATGAGGAAAGTTCAGCATCTCCATGCAGAGGGTAGAGATGATGCTCCCCCCAGGAAGCACCTCTAGCAGCCATCTGACGAGTGGTCAGTGGAGGTATTCCTATGATGTAAAAACACTACATTTACTCTGAAAACAGTGTTTACGGCAAAAAGCCTGAAGGGAATGATTATACTCACCAGAACAAATACAATAAGCTGTAGTTGTACTGGTGACTAAAGTGTCCCTTTTAAGGTAAGTAAAACCTTCATTTAGAATGCTTTGGAAACATAGGTTTTCTTTCCACCTTTAAATCAATTCTTCTGCATAGTCTCTTTGCTAAGGAATTGATTGAATGGGGATTGCTGAAGAAACCTCCCTCATGTGATTCTTCTGCTCTCCACCAATGGCAACTACAGCTATTCTATGGTAATGGTCTAGCTCAGGCATAGGCAACCTTTGGCACCCCAGATGTGGACTACATTCCCCATAATTCTCTTACACCCATAATGCTGGCAAAGCATCATGGGAGATATAGTCCAAAACATCTGGAGTGCCGAAGGTTGCCTATGCCTGGTCTAGCTGGTACTAGCAAAGCCAGAGAGTCATCAGCATGGAGAGGATTTGCCCTGCATTGGGAAGTTGCTATTACAAACATGAAGTGGCCATGGTACACTCACCAGAAGTGAATTTCAACAAGCCAGGCTAGCTTTTCACTTGCCAATGGCAAAGGGTGAGTGGAAATTTCCTGGTATTAGGAATTTTTACTATTATTTACGTGCATTAGACGACTTTTCAGATTTGTTTTCTTCTATTACTTTTTATGTTAAAACCAATGTTTGTGTTGGAAAAACAAGTGCAGCTTAAAATAGTGGGACGCAGTCTGTAACCTACTTCGAATTTATACATGAACACTGTGTATAGTTCAGCTTACATACCTGTGCAACCTTTAATAGGCTCACTGGGATCGCTAACTCCAGCAAGGTTCCTTGCAGTGACAGTGACATTATAGGATGAACTGCAGGGCACAGGAATGTAAAAGTCCATATATGATGTCCAGTAAGAATGCAAGATAAATGAAGATTCTGCATCATTTCCTATTTCCCCTTGCACAGTAGCCATATATTCTTCTCCACAGTGACTTCCGTTCCAGGTTATTTCGACTTCCTGAGGCTTCACAGTCCTGTGATAGATCAATGTTTTCACTTGACCCGGTGGGCACGGGACTGTAGCAAATAAAAGAGAACTGAATTACCAAACATTTACTATTTACATGTAGGTTTCCTATTCAAAATTATTCTTCTCTTATGGTTTCACACTAATCTCTATAATCCATTTAAGCTTATTTTGTACCATTCCAGCAAAAACTTGATGTGTCAACATGAAAATGTGTCCCTCATTTTAAAAGAAAACAATCATAATTTCTATTATCACTATTTAAACTAAAATTAGGTGTACCATAGCCTATTTGTGTATTATTTTGTAATGTATACATATAAGT